ATATATTATGGGTTTTGTTCAATAAGTATGAAAGAGGATTTGGGCCACTGGAAAAAAATAGAATTCTGACTTTAATTTCTAAAATTCTGAGATTAAAGTCATAATTCCTTTAAGAAAAAAGTCAGAATTTTCAGCTTAAAATCAGATTTTTATTTTATTTTTTCCAGTGACCCTTAATCCTCTTACATAAATAAGCTTTCAAGTATCAAACTCAAATTATCTTGTCTAGATATGGTCCCCTTTAGTTTCAGAAATAGTGTGCGGTTTCAAATCTGTATCTGCCTAGAACAACAAATTGATACGTTGGTATAAAGGAGAAATAAACAATGACCTGTGATAATAAAAATAAAATGACAAGAATAAGTTTAAGCTTTGTTATAAAACAGCTGGAACAAAATGATGAAGACTGCACTCAGTTGATGAATGGCAGTTTTGAACCTTTTTTTATTTAAGAAAAACAGAGCTAAATTTGGTGATGTAATTGATTACAGTGCAACTTTAAGACAGTTCAGTCCTTCTGGCACTAATCTGGTAGTTTCTGACTGCATCATTTTTAGCCAGCTTTACCAGTTAACTCAGTCAAGTGGAGACAATCTAAAGTCTTGAACCTGCAGAGAAAATAATGGATAGTTGTTGCCAAAACGAAAGGTGGATTTTTGGATATTTTGATAATGTGTTTTCTTAGTGCTGCATTCACAGACATATTCGATTGCAGAAGAAAAAAAAATGCAAAGCTTCAAAGAGCTGTCAGCTCTTGTTACAATCACTCAGCTCTGATTACAGAAAACCAATGAGGTTTTGGTGAACGGGACATAAAATGTCAGGTTTTTAATTACGTCCTTATCTCTTTTAAAGCCACAGATTGAAGCATTATTTAGGTTCATGCAGTTTTTCTTTTCAAGATGTTTTGTTTTGATGCTGATAGAGTTACCCTGTGATTGGCTATTAATCTATTTTCTTGTTTTCTTTTTATGAATATTTTGAAATCAGAGATACAATCTTTTTAATTGAAATCTCTAAGATGGGTTTGGGGACATCTTCACACCTGTTTCAGAAACTTTTTAACACTTTTTCTATGTAACTGTGTTGTTGAGTGTTGCAACTTTTTTTCTGGTGGGCATCTGAGGTAATACTGACAGTAATACCACAACAATAATAATGTACACAGCCTTGGGATGTCTTCTTCAACTCTGTGGGTTTTCAGCAAACCTCTCCTTGTTGTGATTACCTGTTAGAAAACAAGTCCCACCTGCGCGGTTCTGCCTGGACCCCTCACCAATGTTGTGTGTCATCCACAGAGCTGATGAAATCTGTGGTTTCTTTTCCCCCCTCTAAGAACAAATAAATGCTAATTCTGATTCACTGACAAAGCTTTTGTAGCGTTTTGTTGCTTGACTTGAAATCATGTGATGAAGATGTGAGATAAAATGCAATGCCCTGCGGCAAATAAAAAGCTGTCGGGTAAAACTGGAAGAAATGTTAAAATATAAAATTTAGCACATAAAGTAATGGAATCCGTGTTTGCTTCTTGGCACCTGATTAGCAGCAGCAGCAGCTCAAAACAAGTGTCAATAATGACGATTAAATAAGCTGTTTGACAGAAAAGATTTGGCTTTTTTTTTTTCATTTGTGCAACCCACATACTCAGCACTACAGATGCAAGTTCCTTGCAAATGTGGCACCATTTAAAAGGGAAATTAACAGATTTTCCAACAGTGTAAGATTCATTGCCAAGAAGCATTACAACAAAGAATTTATCCACCAAGCATTAATTTACTTACTTTTTGTGCTACGTATATATAACAAAAATAAATCTGTTTTTGAAGCATCATTAAATAAGTAATTTATTTCAACAATTTTACCCTGATACCCAGTATGTAAGTTTCTGATGGTACTGTATTTTGTTTATAACTTTTCTGACAGTGTCCATGATTAAATCTAATGAGCAAATCTTGTAATTGTGTCCTCGACCAAAGTGAGTTCTTCTAGTTTTTCTGTTGATGCACAATCTTCTGATCTTTGTTTCCACATTTTACAACTTTTACACATTTCTTAAAACACGTTACTGTAAAGCTTTACTGAGAGAATTGAAACACAAGTATTCATGATGCAAACTGTTTCCATTTCGGACACAATTACTTTTGCTGGTTTCTTGATTTTTGTCTGCATCATGACTTTGTTATCAAAGGGCCAATATTATGTGTTTCTCAGGCATATATTTAAATACTACATCATAATAAAGTATCTTTGTCACCTTTAGCTGTTATTAAAATGCTGTTTTTATGTTTAAATAGAAAATAAACTTATCTTCTCATCACTTCCTCTTCTAAACGCCTTGAAATTGGCCTCTGTCTCTTTAAGAACCACCTTCCGCTTCTGTCCCGTCCATTTCAGTGGGGGTGGGTGGCTGCCATGATGTAGTTTACTTGGCATCTGAAAATACATTTCCTCAAAGGTGTTTTTAAACTGAAAAGAGTGAGAACTAATATTGAGAGCTCAGCAGACAGTTAGGTTTCACTTTCACTTTCACTCGAGAGCCTGCTGGAGTCATGGGCGGGGTGTGTGTGGAGAGGGTACGGGGTGCGCTCTGCCATGAGGAAGCTCAGCTTAAAGACACATCCCATGGGGCGTTTCTGGTACCAAAAGGTGTTTCTGGTCCCCACCTGTCGTTTTGCTCCTCAGCATGGCTTCATGAAAACGTTGCAGGATTTCTCAAACATGCATGAATGAGTCAGAGCAAGGTTTTGGACATGTTTTTATGAGAGTATAACATTATAACATGATATAAAACTCAAAAAAGTTGATTTTACATGACATTGCCCCTTTAAATTAGCATTTCTTGACTCCAAACTTGGAATGCACATTTAGTAGATGTTTGTGAATATACATTTAAATACAACAATAAACAGACAAGCTTTTATCTGCAACCTGTAATGCAATTATTATTAACACTAAATGTTCTAAATTGAGAGACCAGGTTCAGAGATTTTGTCAAACAGAACAATTTTATATATTATTTAGGATTTCATTGAAAAACCTTAAATACTAATTTCAATGGTTGGAACAGCTGAAATGCTGAATATTGAACTAAATGTTTTTGACAGCAGACCATCAGGAGACACTCAAACTCTCTACCTGCTTCTGTTCAGGGGGTCAGGCCTGCAGAGACCCTAAAGAGGATTTATGTTTGCGTTGTTTATCTCACCATCTTGTATGGGGTGTCGTTTGTGTTTTTACTGAATGTGTGTGGATGCATGTTGGGATACTGCTACTATGATTTGAGAGTTTCTCTGAGTGAAACCCCTTCACTTAAGTTATGTAACACACACCAGCTGATTCATGTGCCTCGTGTGTGTGTGTGTGTGTGTGTGTGTGTGTGTGTGTGTGGGAGAATAGATCACGTCACCACCTGTCTGTGGTGGGTTGTGTCAGCTGTTGGACGATGTTGGTAGCACCAGCTTCTCCTCGTCACGCCGCACACCATCTGCCCGAGCTGGCGTCCACATTCGGAGCCAAAGTGTGCTAAGCTGGCCTGCTTCGTGCTGCACCAAGCCAAACTTTACCACGCTGTGCTAAACCATGCCATCGCTGTGTTTAACCTTCATTCACGTGCTTTAGCCATGGCTTCCATCTCTGCTCGTGTGATTTTGTTTAGTCTTCACATTACGTTCACGGTTAATGATCTGCAGAGGAACATGGTCACAATAATGTGCATATTACTTTAAATAATCAATATAATGATCAGTTTTATTTAGAAATTMATCTGATTTTTTATTGTCTATCCCCTAACTATGTGTCAGGGCAGGCTTACGCTTTCAGGCTGGACTGAAAGTGATGCTGCAGCAGCAGGTCACCTTTTTACAGGAACGTGTAAACTGATGCATCTTATGATCAACATGAAGAAATAASTAAAGCTGTCAACAGCAGGGGGCAGTGTATCACCACACAGCTGTAATGTTGGAATCCATGTCAATAAACTTTCCCAAAGGCTCCAGTAGGACTAAATAAATAAATAAAAAAGACAGAGAGTGTAATTTAATAATTTAAAACATGTTTCTTACAATTTTACACAACCTTTTTGTTGGCTGCAGATTCAAATCAACATTGTATCCAGTGAAGTTTACAGAAGCTGTAATATTTGTAAAATGTTGTGAAATTTTTACTTATTGATTAAAAGGCCATTGATTTTCTCTCTGCTCTGCTGAAATTGTCAAATAAAGACACCTGAAACTTGTAATCAATGAAAAAAAAATACTAAAAAAACCTACTCTGCAGCTTTTATCTTAAAATATGAACAAATGCCAGGTATTTCAA